ATCTATACAGATACGCGCAACCAATTCGCGGATATCTTCACCAAACCTCTCGACATTGCAACGTTGTGTGCATTGGGCAGTCAACTACGGATCCTACAGCTGTAGCCCCTCGACCTCTTCGCCCCTCACAAGGGAGCATCGGGCAAGGCCTCTCAGCCTGTGACCGAGGCAGTCATGTGAGGGGGATGCTACGACCCTGACCTCAGACAAGAGGGGAAACGGCATCCCGGTGGTTACTCGATCCATCCGGCTCCTCACCCGGCGCGTCGTGCGAGAGGTTCAATTGGTAGGGACCTGCCTAAATGAGCGTCCGACGGTCCTCGTCACGACGAAAGACGGTGTAACCTGTGGTGGTTATACTCACTGAGCTTAACCGCCATCCTCTATCTGCACACAGGGCACCTGACGTCGGTGACAGTGCGCGGAGTTGTTGGGAGGCAGTCAGAAAACCCGGTTCTGTCGAGAACACCCCCACTGCCCTGCCCGTCAGGTCGCAGAATGGTCCTGCAGCGGTAGATGTTTTTGTGCCTTCTAGAGGCTTTTTCCTCATGTATCAGTCAGTTGCAGTGAAGGCCACGTCACATCGTTAGGATATCGTGCTATCATTGGCCAATTGGCCTTTACTGGCGGATGGGCTTCTCTCACCGACCGCTTCACAATTTTTTCTAAAATCCGATCTCCTCGCATCCGTGCATTCCTTCGCTACCTGTCCCTCCAACTTGAATCAGGGTTGATATGTCGAGTTGAGATTACACGTAATGGATCTCTAGACTAAGTTGAATAATAAGTTTATGCTGTTCGGTTGGCGGCGATCGGACAAATGTTGTAGATATTGCGTCCATAGTGGAGCGGCAATTCCATCTCTCCATACTTTTGCCTCTCCATGTTTTGGAGTTTTCTTGAGCTGTGGTATGTCTTTAGGGCCAATTCTTTTTGGCACTGGCGTCTTAACTCGAGCAGCAAGCAGTGCGTCATTTGTATCATGATGGCGAACGTAGTTGTGGATAGTGCATAGTACCAACAGAAGTGCCACTTGGAACAGTCGTACCGAAGGCCTTGAAAACATGCCGGAAAACGCATCTCCAGAACATCGAATATAGTTCGAAACAATAACAAACCTGGGTAAGCCGTACGTTAAAGAGCTCTTCCTTGGTTTGGGGGCGAAGCTGTCCAGGGCCGAACTCTTTCAGGTGATAACTTGTGCTGCGGTATGGGACAGGATCTTCACCTTCAGCGCGAACCCAGCGTCCAGAACATCAACCACGTACTCCGACGCAGAGAGTCCTTTCGTGAGGGCATCCGCGTAGACTATTCAATCGCCTGGTGTACCCTTCCATTCGGCTTGGACGTAGGTAATTTCCAAGTCCACTTCACACGCAGCAAGCACATTCATGGTGATGCCCTTTCGACCATGAAAAGCAGCTTCATCTTTGCTTTCAACCACGCCTGGATATGGGTCCCATCGATAATCACTTTCGACAAGGATGGGGCAAACTTGGGGTTGGACAGGATGAATGCTTGATGAGAAGACTTGGTCAGATGGCAGTGATATATAAGCAGTAGAAATGTCAAGATCGACGTCAAGTCGCTTCGTAGATGTCGTGTGATAGTTTCCCCGGAATGCTGGAAGCGCAGTTGCAATTTTGCACTGGTATCGTGGTGGACAGCACAGAGGAGGAAGATGTCGAGTAGCTCGTATGACACAACACGGTTAGTCCCACAAAGATTTCAACAGCGAACAAGTTCGTCGTAGAGACGACAGAGCGTTGAGCAAGCCATGCAGAAGTTCTACACGAAAGCGTCGTGATTGCCATACAGTATCTCTTTCATCCACGCGTCGTCGGACAAGATTGAGTTCCCCTTCGGCGTCTTGCGAATGTACTCAAGGTAGTGGTGATTATACTCCGAATAGTATAGTACTTCCTCTGTTCGCAAATACTGTTGACACTTTTTTCAAATTTCCTTCACGTAGTAGATATTGGTCAAAATCCCCTCAAACCAGCACCAATTTACAGCCTATCAAATGACCTCTCTTCACCAATTTTCCAATCAATTTTATTTGACGTTTCGGCTGAGATAGACGTCCTGAAGCACTGGACGCCAGGGATAAAAAAATACAAACATTCGTAACTCCCTCATTTCTTCTCCAAATCGCTTCAAACTACTTGCAATCGCTTCGTCTTGAAGCGTAGATATTGCTATCGCCCTTCAAAACAAAACTTTCTGGGGACCGCGCTACGGAGGTTTGAATGCCGAGTGAACAATCTGGTCGTGAGCCTCATTGACATTGGCCACTTCAACTAATCTTGACGAGATTTGCGAAATGGTCGGGAATCTCGACTGCTGAATAATTGTATCACATCCTGTAGGGTTTGGTCGTATTTTCACGTTTTGAATAAAATTACACGTTTTTGCTCTGTCCACTAAAATATTTCATACAAATTCTTATATAATTATTTTGTTCAAACAAGTGTCAACAGTTTGCGAACAGAGGAAGTACATATATCAAGTACACGAGCGAACGACGAAGATGTGGCTCCTTCAAGCATCGTAAAGACACGACGGATGTGAAGTTTTTAGGAGCTCATAACTC